GTTTCTTATTCCTCCAGTCCTGATCCAAACATTGCCCCCACCATCAATGATGTTTTTCTTAGTCTGCAGCTTGCTGGAGGAAGTCCAAGCATGGTGAGCTTAGGAGCAGGTTGAGGAATAGGTTGAAGAATAGGTCTTTCTGTCAGCATGTCATCTCACTCTGGTTTATCAGAATTTGTAATTTGACCTTTGGATAAAAGGAGATGCAAAGGCATGCAGATGTGACCCGACCACGTCCCTAAAGACTCTGTTCACTGGCTAGGACAGCTTCCTTGCCAAGTCTGTTCTCTCTCACCTGCGCTGGATAAAGAGCATTGTTCTATATATCGGATGTCAGTAACGTCTTATTGAAACCTCTTTTTCTACAGGGAGTAGGGGGAAGTTAATCTTAAAATGTGAATTTAGAGATGTGTTCTGTGCACAGGGCTGGGGGCAGCCGGGAAAAGAACGTCCACATTGGACGTTCCAAACTTGCGCTCTAGGATATCCTTTCTGGGCTTTCTGCCACAAATGTGAAATTCGGAGTTCTCCCCTGTTCTTTGAAACCGATGCTGTGAAAGTGAGCCTTGCCTTTGGCGCTCGGTTTTATTCTGGCAGGAAGGAGTAATTTGATAGAAGCTGATTTTCAAAAGAATTAGTTGGTGTGATTTTCAAAAATTTTACAGTGGGTGAAACCCTTTTGTTTTGGTTACTACTTAGGTTCTCCTCTCCTAGCAATTTTCAGGTCATCAGAAGAAAGAAAGGATGTTGCACTGCGTAGAACTGAATACTCCACTGCTCTAACAAAAACTCGGTTATTACACTGTTAGGGTGTGCAAAAATCAAGAGCCTAAAGTAGATGGGAGGGTCTGAAAGGAGTGTTTCGTCATTCAAAGAATAGGCTCCTTTGTTATCATTATTTGTCGTAGAATAGTAACACTTCCTTTATTCTGTAAAGAAAAATGAGACAGCACAGGAGAGGAAATTACAAGCATACTTTCAGCGCAGGATGGGAGGAAGTAAAAGTGTTTGAATATGGAACTAAAAGTTTATCTCAGGTCTTAATTTTTCACCTAGGTGGAAAGTCTGATTCCCATTATCATCTCTACTTTAAAAAAAATTGGAGGTTCATAGTAGGTTTGTATATTTATGGGGTACATGAGATGTTTTGATACAGGCATGAAACATGTTTGTTTTGTATGGTGAGGTTATGCACATTTTATTTGTTTGCTGTTTTATTCACTTGTCTGTTTTTCTTACGTTGGAATAGTGTAAAAATGGACATGTCTGTTTTGCAGGTGAACATCATCCCAATAATTGCGAAAGCTGACACCATTGCCAAGAACGAGCTGCACAAATTCAAGAGCAAGATCATGAGTGAACTAGTCAGCAATGGGGTCCAGATATATCAGTTTCCCACTGATGAGGAAACAGTGGCAGAGATTAACGCAACAATGAGTGTAAGTCCTCAAGTCAAATGGGAACAAGTGACTTTTATGAACGCCTGTCTTACTAGCAGCTCTGTAGAGTGGCTGGAGCACTGGGCTGACTAGGAACCTGATGACTTCAGGTCTAGTCCAGCTTTGCCACCACTTCAAGTCGTTTAACCAGTCTGCTCTTCAGTTTCTCCATCTGTCAAATGGGAGCTTAGACAAGATGATCTCAGATTTCCTTCCCAAACAATTATGATTTCTACAGCAAATCTTGTGAGAAGGAAATGCCAGCCTAGCACCAGTTCACAAAAAGCAGCTCAAAGGAAATAGATCTGTGCTTGTTTCCACCAATCTTGGCAGAAATATGTCGGCTTTTCCCAATTTTGTTCTGGTGATTGGATCCTGCCCTTCCCTCCTTTCTATTTTTCCTACCCTTTCCTGAATCATTAGGTAACTGGCAGTTGATACAATTTCCACATCACAGAGAGGAACTAGTCAGGAGATAAATGATTAAAGCAACAGTGGTTCTCTGTGTGTTTGTCATCTAATCCCTCCTGGTGAGTCTCCATCCTGCCGGTAGATGCTCAAGTCTGTTTCACTGCTCTTTTGTGTGTCTTTTTTTTTTTTTTTTT